TGAAGAGATCCCCTGTTAGTCTGATGGGCTTCCCTCTGTGGGTAGCATTTTCTGTTAGCCATTTTTTAGATCTATATTTCGTTGTTAGTGGTTCCTGGGTCATTTTTAGTTTCCTTTGATGGTGTTATGTTTGCCTGATCCTTCATAATTCATAAAGCCTTGTTTTGATATCATTGCATCTGAAGGAGTAAATACTTCTTTCAGTCATTATAGACTAGTCTGGGGAGGTAAGTATCTTCTCCTATTGGATTTCTGGGCTGATGAGATTTCCACTAAGACTGTAATAAAGTGCTTTGGCTCCAGGTCACATAACACCTACTACTGGGTTTGCAGTGAAATTCATGCTTGTCAGACCTGCTATCGGGGCATCAGACAGTTGTGGATTCTATTTTCTGAGAAGACTGAACTTTCTTTTTTATTTATTTATTTATTTTTTTTGAGACGGAGTTTCACTCTTGTTACCCAGGCTGGAGTGCAATGGCACGATCTCGGCTCACCGCAACCTCCGCCTCCTGGGTTCAGGCAATTCTCCTGCCTCAGCCTCCTGAGTAGCTGGGATTACAGGCACACGCCACCATGCCCAGCTGAATTTTTGTATTTTTAGTAGAGACGGGGTTTCACCATGTTGACCAGGATGGTCTCGATCTCTTGACCTCGTGATCCACCCGCCTCGGCCTCCCACAGTGCTGGGATTACAGGCTTGAGCCACCGCACCCGGCTGAACTTTCTTTAAGATGTTGATCAATATGACTGGCACTGCGGGGGGGAAATGCCCTCCAATTATATCTGCAGATAAAGGTGGTGATACAATCAGTGTGAGTAGGTGTGGCTCCTGCTGTGTGGCTCTTGCTGGGTGTTTGGAAATGCTCTAACCTAGTCATTGGACAGGTTCTTAGATCAGTGTCTTCAGATCTGTTTTTGAGTTCATGGCATTTCTCCCTCTGGATTTCTGGGTGGGTAGGACTTCTCACAGACTCTAGCTGACGGGGGCCAGAAGTTGGTTATAGGACTGCTTCAAGATTCACAGTAGGAATAAAGTCAGCCAGCATGCCTACAATGGCACATGTAGGTGTGCTTTTTGACAGGTACCAGGTTAGGAAAAGCTTTTTCTGGACTTGGAGCCAGGTTATAGTGCCACATCAAGATCCACCATCAAATAAATACTGGTAAGCCTACATCCAGGGGTACAGACAGATGTTTCTGTGGATGTTTGGGCGGGATTACTTCCATACCATAACTGACGTGCAAAGGGTGGATTTTGGTGCAAAGCTTATAGCTTGCAGTGAACGCCAAGAATAAAGTACTCAGACATTCCAGCTGAATGGGGTGGGGGTCTGCCCCAGCACATGTCTGCCAAGTATTTATTGAAAGGGCTTGTATTACCTACTAACATCCACTAGATGGCTTTTCGAGTCGGTTAGTGAGGCACCTGTGACCTTATACGATACTCAAACTGTGTTCTCAGGAGGCTGTTTTCAGCGTTCTTTATCACACCACAGACTCCACTCTCCTGTTTTCAGGGTCAAGGAGTTTCATTCTCATGCACAAATAATATGCACACAGTGCCTCAGTATGTTTCCATACCTCAACCTGAAATGCCTTGTACATAAGCTTGACTATGTTGCTGTGCATCTACCCCTTCTTTAACTCTTAGAGCATGCAGTTATCCAAGGTAAGCTTCTGTCGTTCTCTGGTCATAAATGCGTCGATGGCAGCACAGAGCCATCTGCAAATGCCTAGCAAATAGATACAAAAAAGAGTAAGTATAGTGGCCATCACCCAAATGCGTATATCTAACCCAGACAACCAAGTGTTTGGGTTTAACCATTGAAATCCTTGTAATTGCTGAAGGGTACTTGTTTGTAATAGCTGCGACCATTCTTTAAGTTATTTCTTTAATTGACACTCAAGAGTGGAAATTTGAGAAGACAAATGGTTATGAGAAGACCCTTGCAGATGTGCTTTCACTCTCTCCCAAGCATATTGGAAGCTATTATATGGCAGGGGTATGCTACAGATAGAATTATATTGCCAATCACAATGTAAATTTTGACAGGTAATGAATGCCTGCTGCTGATCTGCCAGCCATTCAACAGCAGCTTCAAGAGTCCAGGAGAGACAGAATAGTTGTATCAATATTTACCTGTTCTTGAAATTTATGGGTTACATTGTATACGATGTGGTTCACCACTGAGGCTGTGTGAATAGATTCTGTCCGAGAATCAGCTGCAATAGCAGCAGTTGCTAGTATGATAATAGCTGAGACTAAAAAAGACTATATTTTCTTTTTATTTATTTACTGTAAAATCTAATGCATCATTGTTGAGAATCTCCCCATGCAAATTCTATTTTTATATGGTGCTCACACTAGAGCTATGTTTCTTGTTTTTAATTTTGTTGTTTTTTGCTTTTTTTTTTTTTTTTT